AACAATGTTACAGGAATTACAAAACAAGGAGGAAATACATTACATTTCCTTTAAGCAAAGAAGAGGAAGAGTTTCCTCTGGCTTACTCCATCGTTGTTCATCACAAGGTAAAAACATTTTAACATCTATATGAAAGTGCATTTTAGATTAAAACACTTAATATTTGGTTTGAATAAATGTCTTCTGTATCAGATTTTACTTTGGAATCACCCATCCTCACATACACTATATTGCCAAAAGTATTTGCTCACCCATCCAAATTATTGGAATCAGGTGTTCCAATCACTTCCATGGCCACAGGTGTATAAATTCAAGCACCTAGGCATGCAGACTGTTTTTACAAACATTTGTGAAAGAATGGGTCGCTCTCAGGAGCTCAGTGAATTCCAGCGTGGAACTGTGATAGGATGCCACCTGTGCAACAAATCCAGTCGTGAAATTTCCTCGCTCCTAAATATTCCACAGTCAACTGTCAGCTGTATTATAAGAAAATGGAAGTGTTTGGGAACGACAGCAACTCAGCCACGAAGTGGTAGGCCACGTAAACTGACGGAGCGGGGTCAGCGGATGCTGACGCGCATAGTGCGAAGAGGTCGCCAACTTTCTGCAGAGTCAATCACTACAGACCTCCAAACTTCATGTGGCCTTCAGATTAGCTCAAGAACAGTGCGCAGAGAGCTTCATGGAATGGGTTTCCATGGTCGAGCAGCTGCATCCAAGCCATACATCACCAAGTGCAATGCAAAGCGTCGGATGCGGTGGTGTAAAGCACGCCGCCACTGGACTCTAGAGCAGTGGAGACGCGTTCTCTGGAGTGACGAATCGCGCTTCTCCATCTGGCAATCTGATGGACGGGTCTGGGTTTGGCGGTTGCCAGGAGAACGGTACTTGTCTGACTGCATTGTGCCAAGTGTAAAGTTTGGTGGAGGGGGGATTATGGTGTGGGGTTGTTTTTCAGGAGCTTGGCTTGGCCCCTTAGTTCCAGTGAAAGGAACTCTGAATGCTTCAGCATACCAAGACATTTTGGACAATTCCATGCTCCCAACTTTGTGGGAACAGTTTGGAGCTGGCCCCTTCCTCTTCCAACATGACTGTGCACCAGTGCACAAAGCAAGGTCCATAAAGACATGGATGACAGAGTCTGGTGTGGATGAACTTGACTGGCCTGCACAGAGTCCTGACCTCAACCCGATAGAACACCTTTGGGATGAATTAGAGCGGAGACTGAGAGCCAGGCCTTCTCGTCCAACATCAGTGTGCGACCTCACAAATGCGCTTCTGGAAGAATGGTCAAAAATTCCCATAAACACACTCCTAAACCTTGTGGACAGCCTTCCCAGAAGAGTTGAAGCTGTTCTAGCTGCAAAGGGTGGACCGACGTCATATTGAACCCTATGGATTAGGAACGGGATGTCACTTAAGCTCATATGTGAGTCAAGGCAGGTGAGCAAATACTTTTGGCAATATAGTGTATATTTATGTTTTTTAGAAACAAATATCTATACTCTGAATTCTTTTTTTACACAATGCAGGTGCAGAACTTTGAAAGACTGCTCCGAGCCATCTATGCACCTCAGAATTTTTATTGTGTTCATGTGGACAACAAATCCCAGCCCTCCATAAAAGCAGCCATTGAGGGAATTGTTTCCTGTTTCCCTAATGTTTTCATGGTTAGTCAGCCTGTGACTGTGGTCTATGCTGCTTGGCCAAGGGTCCAAGCAGACATTAACTGCATGGCTGACCTGTATAAAGTCAGTGCAGAGTGGAAATACTTCATCAACCTTTGCGGGCAGGACTTCCCTCTGAAAACCAACTTGGAAATGGTAAGGGTGCTGCGCTCGCTGAAGGGCGCCAACAGCATGGAGTCAGAAAACATGCCTGAGGGGAAGAAGTGGAGGGTGTCAAATGCTCATGAAATTGTTAATGGAGAAATCAAGGTAAATTTAAGAACAAACGTTTGTGTTGAAGCTGGCATTAATTATCTTTCTTGTCACATTTTTATTTTTTTTCATTTGTTTTTTTTTTTAGTCAACAGGAAAGTCAAAGAGTCCACTACCCTTCAACCTGCCGATTAAATCAGGAAATGCCTACATTGTGGTAACTCGGGGCTACGTCCGCAGTGTTTTGAAAGACACCAGAGTAAATACTCTTATTGAGTGGAGCAAAGACACCTATAGTCCTGATGAGTTTCTGTGGGCGACCATTCAGCGAATGGCTGGCGTACCGGGGTCATCGAGACCCCACTCCAAGTATGATCAGACGGACATTAATTCCATTGCAAGGCTGGTGAAGTGGGCGTATCATGAGGGATCAGAGCATTCAGCTGTATATCCTGAGTGTCATGGCAACCATGTAAGAGCCGTATGTGTATATGGAGCTGGGGACCTACAGTGGTTACTAGAGAACCACCACCTCTTTGCAAACAAGTTTGACACATACAGCGATCCCATTCCAGTGTACTGCTTAGAGAAACATCTCAGGCAGAAAGCTCTGATAGAATCAGAAATTGAAGATACCTTTTTGTTTACATAGACCACATACAAAATAAGTGCTGAAGGTACTTACCTGTGTCCCACTGTAATACTCCTCTCCCTGCTTGTCAAAACTGATCATGTATCAAATCATTTTATCCACATTAATAAAGGAATCTATTAGATAATTTTTGTTTAAGATCAGATTGATGGATTTTTATTATACCTTGGCAGGAGGTCCCTAGATTAATCCCCTTGGTAAAGGTCTTAAATACTTATCAAAATTGATACTTTTTGGTTTAGTTGAGCCAATTAGTGTTCAGGCTATTACCCCTTAAAGATTTGAAAATAACAGGTTGGGGGATATGAATGATTTACTAAATTCCTGATGTTTGTGATTTGGCCTAGAATTCTTGACATGCTGAAGTGGGACAACACACCTGGTGTGGCAGACAGAGATTATGGACAACTTACTCTCTGATCTCAGATTTTTAACAAAAGGCACAACAAACCCCATATTTGAATTGCAATGACCATGTTTTGATTTTCATTTCATAGGAAACAGGACCACCGCTGTCCAGTGACCATTGTTTGAAAGAAGACATATGCTCAACAGTTCGTTAGACTAGGCTAAATGGGTAAAATATTTTAGAAGAAAATTCTGTCCTTGTATATGAATATGTGCTTCTTTTTTTTTTTCTATTCCAAGAAACAACAAAAGAAATCCACCTAAAAGATTCAGCTAGTCAATAAGCTTTTTTTTAGACTTAAACAACTTTTAAAGTAATTTTGTATACACAGTGTATAAAAAAAGAAATTTAATTTTGAACAGCTTTCGAGACATTTTCATTTCAGCAGTAATTATGGTACAACGGTACTATTAAGGTACGGTGTATTTTACTAAGGTAAACATCCAAAACCCTTTTGTTTGATCAACAACTATTTACTGTCACAAACTCCCTTCGCAATGAAATTAAAATAGTTCCTTTACTTAATAGAAATATTTCAAGTTTAATTTATTGCAAAAAAAGCAAAACAAATAGTCAAATATTAAAAGAAGGAAATCTGTTTTTTATTTTTAAATTGAATTCCTAATTTTCTTTTCATAAAATTTTATTTTTCTGCCATGCAACACTTTCAGCAAAACCCAGTAAACTGAAGGTTCTGGAGCGGCCATTTAAGTCCACATTTCACCATATCACGGAGAAACTTTTAGGGGGGACATTGATGCAGCCAAGCCTATTTATTTAATTGTTTTTTTTTTTAACGAAAAAGAACAGGAAGTTTTGTGATCAAAGAAAATGATTTCTTTTGTCCATAGCTCACCAGACTAAGCTCCCATTCATCTTCAAGTGGTAATACATGTTAACCTTTCGTCGGGGTCAAGGAAGTTTTATAATATCCATCATCGTATGTATGAAAAGCTTAAACAAAATTGTTTTATAATACCCTGCTTCACCCAGCCTTTAAGAATGGACAAATATGTTGCATAACTTCTACTCTCTGAAGAAGGGCAAAAAAAAAGAGATTAAGATATTATATACTATCAACATTACAAGAAAACTTAAGAAGGGGGATGAGTTTCCTGCACTAAAATTGATTTTGCCTGATTTCATATTATAGAAAAAACGTCAATGCCTTCCGATAGTCACAATAATTTTCAAACCTCGACAATGTGGCAGAAATTTTAAAAAAGGGTTAAGAAAAACCCACAGCGAGATATAGCAAAAGTATTTATCAGCCACTATTTAATTTGCTCCTCTTGCCATTGGCAATTTGAAAATGATACATCATTTAGATAATTTTAAACAAATAAAAACACTGCCTTTTTCCTATTGTGTTTGCTATAATCAGCAACTATAAATATATTCAGGTTCATTATTTTAAAATATATAATGTCAAAAAGAATTGCTAATACAATAATCAATGATCTAAGGTAAGTTTGAACATTCAAAAAGACTTGGTGCTCAAAACACAAATATAGAGAAGCAAAAGACTGCTGGTTGGGAGGAAAGGCATTTAATGATGTGCACAATCGTATGACCTCTACAACAAATGAATAGAAAGAGTTAGCTACATATTAACATGTACAAGTAAAAGCACACATGACTCAACCTCCACTGTGGTTGCTAGTTTGTATAGCGTAAAATGAAAACACTTTCTGTCGCACATTAGTGTTTGAATTATGCACACATTTCACATTTACCATAGCAGTGGCACCAGTTGTGAAGCCCCGTCCCCTTTGGTTTCCAAGAAAACATGCAACATATTTGAAACAAGGAAAAAAAAATCGAATTTGTTGTTCTCAGAGGCTTTTGTTTCGCAACACTCATTTTTGCAGACTCAAGTGTCATTGGCAGGTTTTCACAGTGACCGGGTGGTGTTGGATGAACGGCTCTGTTAATAAGTGTTCATTTACATGTGGGCACTGAAAAAAAAAGTTAAATTCTCACTCAACACAACCTCTCTGTTATGAAGGCAACCAGTCTTGACTTTCATATCAAGCAAGTGCTGATTACACTGCTAATAAAATAACACCAATTTACTGTTTTATCCACAAGCTGATCAACTGAAATTAGAAGAAAAAAAAGGTCTGAGAGGTCTGCATCTTCTTTGGTCATGAGATTGGAAGCATATGATTTCATGCCAAGTCAGTTGGATTACAGAGTTAAGTCAGCTAAAGGAGCATATCTTCAGTGGGGTCGCTGGGCCCCACTAAAGGAGAAAGGGGATCTTCATCAACGTCTAAAAGAAATAGAGGTCTGCTAAGCTAAATTGATATCAGCAAAAGTTGCCTTGATACAAGCAAAATCAGAAAATGAAAGTCAAACAGCGGCACCTCTAGTCCACCAACCAGCTATACAGTTAAGGCCGACTGCCCTCCCAAGGTTTGATGAGAATAAGAGAAATTTTCACAGCTGGAAAAAAGATTGGGAGGCGTTCCAAAAACAGGGTAAGCCGACCGGCTCCAAAGAAGTCTGTAAGTTTCAGCTGCTGGACAGTCTGGAGGAGAAGGTCTTGAGGGATCTCCGTCTGTCAATGTGTGGGACTGCAGACGAGATTTTCCGCATGCTGGAAAATCGAAATAAACCAGCGATAGCCTTAGAAATATTGGAGAAGCTTCAGGCACTGCCCCCAGTAAGAGGTCACCAACCAAAGAAGATTGTAGATCTTATACGGTTGGTGGAAAAGGCTTTAAATGACTTAAAAGAGCAGTGATGGGACTAACGGCGTTACCTTGTTTTAGTAACGAGTAATCTAACTAATTACTTTGACTGTAACTATAACGCAGTTACCATTGCTGACACCCCGTTACTGCGCGTTACTCAGGTCGCACAATGAACCTTTTTTCATGATAGGACTCGTGCGCAGCTGCGTCAAAAAACTCTGCAAATAGACTGAATGGTTAGTGCAACGTTAGTGCAGATTTGTGCAGAAAAAAAATATTGTTTGTGCTACTTTTGTTTAAGAGATATTAAAGATTATTTTTTAGGTCATCCAGAGGTGCGCGCCTTGTCATGAGAGAGGGGAGGATGAGAATGGCTGATGTATAGTGATATTCCATCTGTCAGTTGGGTAGGTGGGTGTTTCCGCTGGTGGGTGTTAACGTACAGCGCACACAGAGAGATGGAGAGTGAGGATGACTCCAGCAGCAAAACGTTTTCCTGATGAAAATACCGGTGTTACGTCGAGCTGCGTTTCCCCATCACATACGGTTTCCTCTGCATCTCCGCACAGCGCAGGCGGCACGAGTCACCGCGCAAGCGACAGGAAACGCGCATGCTCGCTAAAGGCGCGCAACAGTCGCCCTGTGCTCGCGCCACAGGAGAACTATGGAGAGCGTGAACGATCAAATGAAAGGGAGAAATCTGGATGGATGGATGGATGGATGGATGGATGGATGGATACTCTGCCTTTTCAACCTACTGTATTTTTTATTTTAAACATTATTTGATGGCCTTTGTGGCAGGGATGGAGATCCATATTTTATGTCACACGCAGAGTATAGATTTAGATAGATAGATAGATAGATAGATAGATGTTGCAGTATCTATAACAACCCAAACACACAGGATTTCAGAATTAGACATCCCCAGTTATTAATTTCACCAGATCTGAACCTTTTACTAGTAACTAGTTACTTTTATTGTGGAGTAACTCAGTTAGTAACTCAGTTACTGTAAAAGAGTTGGGCGATGTAGGGGCTTTGAGGAACAGTGTTGGGCACGTTACTTTGAAAAAGTAATTAGTTATAGTTACTAGTTACTTCTCCCAAAAAGTAACTGAGTTACTAACTGAGTTACTCCACAATAAAAGTAACTAGTTACTAGAAAAAGTAACTATTGCGTTACTTTTGCGTTTCTCGCCCCCGTAACCCTCACCACCCGGCCCCCACCTTCTCGCCATGTGTTTCAAAAGCCAGCTGAATAGAGCGGACGACAAAGACAAGAACCTGCAGAGAGTTTTGCATTTATTGTAACTCAACGTAAATGACATCAGGGGGGAACGCGATGTGAAGTTTTTTAACAGGGGTTCAGATCTGGTGAGTTTATGAAATTATTAACTGGGGATGTCTAATTCTGATATCCTGTGTGTTTGGGTTGTTATAGATACTGCAACATCTATCTATCATCTATCTATCTAGATCTATACTCTGTGTGTGACATAAAATATGGATCTCCATCCCTGCCACAAAGGCCATCAAATAATGTTTAAAATAAAAAATACAGTAGGTTGAAAAGGCAGAGTATCCATCCATCCATCCATCCATCCATCCATCCATCCATCCATCCATCCATCCATCCATCCATCCATCCATCCATCCATCCATCCATCCATCCATCCATCCATCCATATTTCTCCCTTTCTCCATATAGGCTATCATTTGATCGTTCACGCTCTCCATAGTTCTCCTGTGGCGCGAGCACAGGGCGAGCATGCGCGTTTCCTGTCGCTTGCGCTGTGACTCTGTGCGGAGATGCAGAGGAAACCGTTATGTGGTGGGGAAACGCAGCTCGACGTAACACCGGTATTTCCATGTGGAAAACACTGTTTTGCTGCTGGACCCTCACTCTCCATCTCTCTGTGTGTGCTGTACGTTAACACCCACCAGCAGAAACACCCACCTACCCAACTGACAGACGGAATCTCACTATACATCAGCCATTCTCATCCTCCCCTCTCTCATGACAAGGCGCGCACCTCTGGATGACCTAAAAAATAATCTTTAATATCTCTTAAACAAAAGAAGCACAAACAATATTTTTTTCTGCACAAATCTGCACTAACGTTGCACTAACCATTCGGTCTATTTGCAGAGTTTTTTTGACGTGGGTGGGGTGTCAGCTTCACGCAGCTGCGCACGAGTCCTATCATGAAAAAAGGTTAATTGTGCGACCTGAGTAACGCGCAGTAACGGGGTGTCTGCAATGGTAACTGCGTTATAGTTACAGTCAAAGTAATTAGTTAGATTACTCGTTACTAAAACAAGGTAACGGCGTTAGTCCCATCACTGTTGAGGAATCCTTTGATGACAAAGTCTTTGGAGAGCAAATTGCCTGAGGTCTTAAAGAAGGAATGGCTTATGTTTGTTGCTGAAAAGAAGAGTACAGGAGCTCAGAGAGGCCCCTT